ACTGCACTCCAGTCTGGGTGACAGAGTGAGACTCCAACTCAAAAAAAAAAAAAGAATCTAAGTAGACGTTGGTCCTGTTCTTCCAAGGCCCTGCTCTTCACCAGGTGACCCCTGGGTTTCTTGTTCCTTGGATAGCACTGGGCTGTCTTCCCAGGGATGCAACCTGTCTGCTGGCATGTGCTCCTAGAGTGAGTCCCAGGCAGAATTGGGAGCCAGGGCAAGGGATGGGGGGGGGCGGGGGCAGAGTGCGGCCCAGTCTTGTCTCACCAGCATCTTCCCTTGCAGCCATGACTTCATCGGGGAGTTCACCACCAGCTACCGGGAGCTGGCCCGTGGGCAGAGCCAATTTAACATCTACGAGGTGAGGCGGGCGCCCAGAATCTGGGATTTGCACCGATGAGAAGCACCGTACCCACCCCCAAGTCACCGAGGACCGTAGTGAGCCACACACCAGGCTGGGGACTTTGTGTTTTCCTGGGCGGTGGATGCTGTTGTCCCATTCCACCGTTAAGGAGACTGAGTCTCAGAGAAGTGTGAGCACTTACTTGCCAAAAGTCCCACGGTTCAGGAAGTGGCAGAAGCAGGATACAAACGACCCAGACATGGCTAATTCCAAATCATTGAATTATCACTCCCTAGAGAGGTTCTGATGAAGTAAGCATAGTAGGAATGGGGGTGGGGGACAGCATAAGAGGGTTCTAGGCTCAAATTGTGAGGTTCTGAGTTCAAGGTGGGCCTCTGCTTTCCATCAGAACAGTCTCAGGGCCTGGTGGGTATCTTACCTTCTCCAGAAAGAAAGCCCGGAGATCAGGAGTCAGGATCACTGCCTTGGTGCAACCTTGGGCAGGGTTCCGACCTCTCTGGAGATAGTACCACTTGCCCTCAGGCATCAGTGTCTGCCACTGAACCTTTGCCTGTGTGTGCACTCCCTCCCAGCCATGCTCAGGTCCTGCTTCTCCGGGTGGTCCTCCTAACCACCCCGGCCTCCCATGTGTGCTCCCTCATCTGAACTTCTGTGGATGTCACAGTTCATGCCAAGCTCGCTCACTGGCGGATACTCACAACCCTAATCACTGCTTGGCTTCATCTCCTAACCCTACCATTTACTGGCTGACCTTGGCAAAGTCCCTGACCCACTCTGTGCCATGCAAACTGAGAATTAAATAAGTTAATGAGACAGCACCCAGCCCGGAGGTCACCACTGTCTTCTGTTGTCATCTGTCATCAGTTGTCATCTTCTGTGTGCCAGGAAATTCACGACATGACCATCTTACCGTACTGGTGCTGTCCTCACGCCAGCAGCCACTCAGCTGGTGGAATTAAGAGCTGGCTTTGAGCCGGGCTCGGTGGCTCAGCCTGTAATCCCATGTCCTTGGGAGGCTGAGGTGAGTGGATTGCCTGAGCCCGCGGGTTCGAGACCCG